TATATTTCTAAAAATATTTTTAGATTATCAATAAATTATTTAATTATTTGTATGCCATTAAATAACTAAAATTTTGTTTTCAGGAAAATAACTATCATTCAATCGTGATTATATTATTATATGATCCATAACCACAGTATAACTGTCTCCTATATTTAAGATAGGAATAGGTATGGCTTTTGTGTTGAAAAACTTATATAGGGGTTTTCAATGTTGTTGATCATTTATGAAAGTATTAAAATGTTGTCTCTATTAAAAAATATTTTATGCATTAATACACTTTTATAAACATCGGCATTAAATATTGTATTTGAAAAGGCGAAATTAAAAATATAGCTTTACAATTTCTAAAAAAGCAACAGCATTTACAATGCATTCAAATCAGTATTTAAAAATATTTCTTTTACCTTTGTATTGAAATAATTCGAGGCATTTATATATTAAAATACGTATTTTGCCTATCCCCAATTTAAGAAGGTAATAAATCAATATTAGTCTAAAGACGAAGTTACAGCAAGATGCTACTTTAGATGTATGGCTGAGCAACTGAATTGTATCCACACATCCATACGAATGACTTATGCATAAATAATTACATTCAAATAGGTAGTTTGAAATTCCATTTCAGTATATACGCATACTATGGTGTACATAGGAAAAAAAATTAGTTTTATAAATCAATCCCTAACTCAATTTTAATGTCAGATATCTTTGCCTGTGGCTAAAACCTGATAGTAGTCTTGAATATAATGAGACCTAAAGTCACACGTATTCAGTTCAAGGAAGTAGCGGTAGGTAGCACCACCAGAAATTCAACAGCATACATATACGCTCGATCTTCAATCAGTCCATGCATGGTTAAAAAAATTAATTTAATTAAAAAAATAACAACACCACCACTCTTCTATTGTATGCACACACGTAGAGTATACCTTTGGTCACTCTGAAAAGTAAAAACACTATCTATGAATATTTCTCCTGTAACCAGGATGTTTTTGGGTGATTTAAATGTTTTTTTTTTTTTTTTTTTTTTTTTTTACTCTCCTAAAAACTCATTTTAACGCTAGAAAATAATTTTTTTTTAAACTAATGTAAGAAAATCCTCTCATCCTCCACTGTTGTAATACATTATACACAACCCATACAAGAAGAGAGAGCAGCGAGAGCATCTTGTACGCATGAAAAGCCAAGCGGGTTGAACGGCCCCTTTATAAAATGATGGGTGCATGGACCGCTGCGTGTAACCAACCGCACCTCGACCGGCCACAGAGTCACTCATGCTCATATTATGTACACATATAAAACTGCAGCAGCGCGTCTCCGGTTTGAATATAAGCGCGTTTATATGTAATATACATGGTGGACGACCACCGGGCGTTCCTGTTCTCTAGTCGGGATCAATGACTCGTGGCCTGCATGACCTAAATACTACCGAGGAAATATGTGTTATCCGATGGGAGGGAGAATAAAAAAAGGAAGAGAGTCTTTTCGGGAAAGTTGGGAAAGTTGTTCTCGGTACAATGCTGCGTTATCAAATTTTTTTTTTTTTTGCTCCCATTCGAAGAAAAATCCATGGTTGTCCGATAAGTGTACACATCCCGTAGCTTTGAGTGCGATAAGAGACCACGATAAAAAAAAAAAAAAAAAAAAACTACGATGGATTCAGCGTTGAGTCGGAGAAAAAATATTTTTTCAGAAAATCAAACGTACAACGTGAGTCAGAGACGTCCAAGAGTGTAACAACAAGCGAAGGCGTTCCGACGTCTCCGTCGGCTCCGTCCACTGCTCTCGCTACGTGCACAAGCTGAAAAAGTGATCGCAGCAATACCTGTGCTAATATATGAAACTAAAAGATAGGTTTGTCTTCTGCTAGCAGACTGCTAAGCATTACTATCATCAGAAAGTTATGTGTTTATACATCGACAACCATTCTAAGGGTTAAATTTTTAATAAAATTATGAGTAGTATGTACATATTTTACTCAGGCATGTTCATTAAAAAACGCAGTGAAATACATTGGATACTGTGTATTTCTTAGAGTTTTTAACTGGGGTCTGATCCTCAGAGCGTATCGTCTGAACGTGTGTACATACTGTGTGAACACGCCGGTATAGGGCTAACGGAGCTCTCTGATTGGTCAGAGGAGGTCTGTGTTGACTACATTGCAAACTAATAAAACATCTCGTATCACACAGTACACGGACTTGTGTTGAAGTAATACTCAAGCGCTTATAGTGCTTGTAGTACAAATTTTGTCTTTAGTTATTCACATAGGATTGTACCACTTGAGAGATTGTATTAATTCGTGATATAATAAACACAGAACCTTTCGTGTATCTATCGAGGTACTGTGTTCCTATAGGTATCAAGCACATATCGCGAATATTGCCTTCTGCTGTGCCAGACCAATAGTTCTCGTTTTTCCCTCGGTGGCGCTGCTTCAAAATTGTGCACGTATAGCGAATACTGTTATGCTTGCAGCACATATCTACTTACAATGTACGTGCATACGCGCAAGTGATGCAAGTACAAGTGCAGCAATAGATGGTATAGCATGGCAGTGGGGACCCGGCGTCGCTCTTTCTCTCTCCTTCTTTCTAGAGTTAATGTAACGGTACCCATGCAGACTCAAAGGGATTATACTTGGCTCTCTCTCTCTCTCTCTCTCGTGGTGCACTAGGATAGTTTATCTCCGTTGGGTTCACTCGCGCAGTCGACTCGCGAACGTCGCGGGAGAAAATTCGCGTGGCAAAGTGCCTTTTTTCTCGTCCAGTTGTTATTTGAAAGAAAAAAAAAAAAGTGTCGATGACGTAAAAATGTTTTGATTTTTTTCCAAGTGGAGATGATGTGTTTTCTGAGTATTCAAAGATGACGAGGGGCAGGAGCTGATCATTGTGATCCTTGTGAGGTATTGCCTGCATACATGTATTGTTTTCATTGAAAGCAAAGATACTCGAGTAGTCTATGTCAGTTACGGGGCGAAGATTGATACATTAAACTAAAAATACAGTAATATTTTCGATAGAATTATGAGAAGGTTTATCCAAGGTTTTTAAAAATTTATTTTTATCTCGTAAATTAGGATTTAAAAAATGGACACGGAATTTGATTCCAAATTTTTCGTTTTAAACAGTAACTATTCATAATTTCTTTTTTTTCCAAATCATATAAATCCTTTATTAATAAAGATTAGCTGATTATCAAGAACTTTACAAGATACAAATTTTTTCGCATAAAAATCAACGCGTTTTAGTCAAAAATTGTCAAGGGGGTTTTTCCTGTTTCAATGAAAAATTACTGTTAAAAAAGTAAAAATCATTAAAATTTCGCTTCCCGTAACATTTATATTGAAACTATCGAGATTCGAGAGAACACAACAATTAGTATTATCAAACAATGTCTATTTTTTTCGGACTGATTTTTGGTTCCCAACTTCTGCCAACAAACATAAATTTTCAAGTAACTTAAAGTAAATATCTCCCCTACACTTACTCCTTTGTCAAAAAACAAATAAAATGAATACAGTCATGCTCTATATCAAAATTTGAAGCAGTATTAATTTATAAATTTTCAAGGCTTTTTTTTTCATGTAAATTCACCGTTAATAACAATGAAAAAAATTATTTGAAATTCAATGAAATGCAACAAATCCCACGTATCAAAAAATAAAATCAAGCAACTCACGGTCGCCAAAAACATAACGGATAAAACCCAACAGATGTACACATGGTTGTAGCATTTAAATCCCATCGGCATCGGAGCCATTTAAACGTCCAACACAGTGATACCACGGACAAACATACACACGGAAACATTCACACTGTAGGTACACGTACACTGTATGTATACCCCATGGGTCAATGAACAAAGGGCAGAGGGGGAAGGGAAGCTCGCGCCGGTGTTGCACACGCGACAACCCCCGAAAGCCATACCGTCTGACGTTGTCGCGCAACTGTTCCCGTACACAGAAGAGCCACCCTCCTCGATTTTATCGATCCGATGACGGCGCAGCCGAGCCACCCTTAACCTAAAACGCAAACGGTGCCGTAGTCGTATGCGAAACGACTGGCCGAGCGACAACACGGCTTTTTTATTTCATAATATCTACCCCTTTTTTCTAGTCAAACTTTCTACGAATATTATATTTTTGTATCATACTTTTAGGGAAAAAAGTCTTAGGTTTTAGAGGTATAGGTTTTAAGTGGTGAAAAATAGGATAAACGTAGTCTAGTCGTAGGTTAAGGGGAAAAAACTTTTAGCGTGGAGATTTCAAAGACTTGCTAACGAATGAAAAAAAAATTGTGCAAAGTCGAGATTAATTATTTTACATGAGTAAATCCTGAATACGAAGACTCGACGAGGATGAAAGAACTGCTGATATCGTGAGTATACATTTTTGCGTGGACGCCTGTATAATGAACAATTCTGAATTTTCCATAGGGCTATTGATTAAGTGGTAGGAGTAGGAGGAGAATAATTGAAAATAAAGATTTTGCGTATTTTTCATGTATTTATTATTCTACTTATTAAAATTTAGTAACACGAACGAATGGATGGATGCGCATGAGTAAAATAAAATACAGCGATCGATGGATGATTATTGAATTTGTGTTCTTTTAATTTATGTTTCAGGGCTCGCCTCGCAATGGCAGAAACTAATCCGGACAGCCAAGAGGCAAAATTGAAGAGTGTGCGTAAGCGTTTGAATTTTGGCGATACGAATGACGACAATTTACCGACAAAGGAGGAACTGGAGCGTAAATTCGAGGAGGAGAGGAGGAAAGAGTTAGAAGAGGTGAGATTTGTGAGGGAGTTTTATCGTGGTTGGTGTGTAGTAAAAATTTCAGTAGACGAGGATATTAGAGATTTATTTTTATTTTTTTTAATCGAGAAACAATTGGATGTTTGATGTTTTAACGCAGTGTGATTTTATCAAATCAACGGCATAAAAGAAAAATACGACGTTGACAAAACGTATGACATTTGAATATTATGCGACAAAAACATGAGATTCCGGAATAATTAATGAAAAACATAGCACTTCAAAATTAATTAATGAAAAATATTATACTCTGGAGCTCTGAAAACATTTTTGGGCACAAAAAATTGTATTTTCATAGAAATTAAAAAAAGCTGTTTTTACATTAGTGAGAAAAAAAAAAAAAAAAAACCTTAACCAATTAATCTTCATTTATTTTATGAGTTAAAATAGTTAACCTATTATTTTTCTCTACCTCATTGTTTTAGAAGGTAAACAAATATAAAGAGTAACGAAAAATTATTTTATATCACTAATATAATATTTGCAACACAAAATATTTTAAAAATTGGTTGCAGAAAAAAGCCAAGTGGAACTTTGACTTCAAAGAAGGCCATCCCATCGAGGGTAGATGGGAATGGATGAAAGTTGAGCAGCCAAACGGGAATAAAATTCCCAGGAGTACGGGTATCGATGGGGAAAAAGCCGAAATCGATGTGGAAAATCCTGCACAGTCAACTTAAAACAGGGAAAAATGACGAAATGACGGGTCGTGATTTTTTGAATTTTTTTTTTTTTTCATCGAAACGAAGGAAGCGTAAGAGGAGATTTTTATTTTGAGATTAATTTTTTTTTGTACGCGATATATTTTGTTGAAGGAGAGTAGGTGGATTTTATATACGCTTATTTATGGACTGCAAATGAATTGAATGGATTTTAGTATAGTCGACTAAGCGAATTTGATAAATTGGAAAAGTCATAACTTTTCGAGAAAACGTTTTTATCAAACGTGACGAGATTTTTTTGCGCGCAACAGAATCAAAGAACTGGTTGGCAACGAACTCTAGTCAATTTACGAAGGCAAAACTGTCATTGAAAACTATCAAAAAAATATATAGATTAAAGTAAAAAAAAAAAAAGAAATAAAACTATTTATTGGTTGACGAAAGATAAGAATAATGATATTGTAAAATGTGATAATTTGTAAATGTAACTTTCTTTAAAATTCACAAGCGAATGTGCATGACTAATGTATGATGCAATATTAAAAAATACTAACCATTTAAATTTTAAGAGTGTTACTGTAAATAAACCGATAAATTATATCAAATATTTTGTCAAAAGCTGAATAAATACCAATATGTCTGTAAAAACAAACCCAAGTATTATTTAATTTCTGCTGACCATTTTTTTCCTGAAGAATCTTGTACTGGATAAAAAAATTTGATTATCACCCTTATTTTATAGTTTGTTTTTTTCTTTGCTTATAAATGTACAAACATTTATTGAGAAGATCATTTAGCAATTATCAAATAATTCATGTTTATCCTTAAACTTTCTTCTAACAACCAACAATTATAAAACCTGGACGTTTTTAAAAATTTTTAATAATATTTAGAAATAAATAATAAAAAACAAACATAA